AGACCTAGCCCAGTGTCAGGGTGAACAGTGACAAGGATGTGATTCCCCAGAGTCTAGCCGTGATGGATTCTGGGCCCAGCATCTGCCGGTTAACTATCCTGTGTCACAATGACGTCAGGACAAGAACAGGCTGTCCCAAGGAGCTGGTCTTAGCCCCGCCTCCTTACTGGAAGCTGACACTGGTTCAGTACACAGCTAGTACTTGGCCTTAGAGGCACTCTGGAGGATGGCCATTTTTACCTGGTGTTCTGTCTTCCTCAAATCCCACACTCCCAGATACTCCCATGACTCATTACATTTCACTATCTCAATTATAAGAGACTTAAGAGAAAAAAGAGACTTAGAAGTCCAAGGCACTCTCTGACAGTGGCGTTACTCAGACCAGACCAGAGGTCTGTTTATCGTGATGTGCTTGAGCCAGTGCATACTGGCTTGCCAAAGCCTGAATGCTGTTTTCAGGAACTTTGGGAGCCAGTTGCTGATGGCTGAGGCAGTAGTATCACATGTTTGAGCCCAGCCTGGGCTACATAGGAAAACTCATCTCAAAAAACAAAACAAAGGGCCAGGGATTTATCTCAGTAGCACCGTGCCTGCCTCATGAGCGCAAGGTCCTGAGTTCGATCTCCGGTACCAAAACAAAACAAAACAAAAAATTGAGTTCTGTAAAGTTGTGATTTTTTAAAGTTTATGACAGTGTATTATATTAAAAACAAAAGTAAGAAATACTCGAAACTTTACATGTATTGAAACATTATGGGGTACCCCATTAATATGTACAGTTGTTAGGTTTTTGTCTACTACTTAAAAAATAAATTTAAAGCCAGGTGTAGTGGTGCCCACCTGTAATCCCAGTACTCTTGAGGCTGAGGCTGGAGGATCACTACAAGTTTGAGGCCAGTCTGGGCTACATAGTGAGTTCAAGACCAGCCTGAACTACAGAGTGAGACCTTGTCTCAAAAAAAAAAAAAAAAAATTTAAATACTCAAAACTCATTTCCTTATTCGTGTATTTTCCTATGCTGTGCCTTTGAGGTATTTACTTTGCTCACACAAATGCAGTGGAAATACTGTGTAAAGGTCTGTTGCTCTTCCCAGTGCTGCATTCAGTTGTGTAATGTTGGCAACTTAAAGTTGGCCAGGGTGGGAATATTTTTACCATGGAAATTGACAGATCAGGCTTCTCCCTCCCCGTGGAGAGGCAGGTTTGAAATGATTCTCAGCTTGCTGTTGGTTACTGGATACCCTTCCTGCCTTGCTGGGACTGCTGAGACAAAGAGCGCTTATGCAGCACCACCTTCTGATGCCAGGCTTCTGGCAACCAGCCTCCAGGCTCATGGGCCTCTTAGATATGACTTGGATTCTCCCTTCCCCAGGCCCTTCCATACTTTGACCGGCTAGACTACGTGTCCATGATGTGTAACGAGCAGGCGTATTCACTGGCTGTGGAGAAGCTGCTGAACATCCAGCCTCCACCCCGGGCACAGTGGATCCGAGGTTTGCGCTGACCCTTAGCCCTGCTGCCCACTGCTTCCCCATCACAGGAGCATTTTGGAACCCAAGCTTAGTATTCGGACCCTATGGTCTGCCCAGACTGCTCTTCAGGCTGGGTCTGCAGCTTCTGTATGCATCTCTTCTTGTCTCCCCCTTGCCATAGTGCTGTTTGGAGAAATCACAAGACTTTTGAACCACATCATGGCTGTGACCACACATGCCCTGGACGTTGGGGCCATGACCCCTTTCTTCTGGATGTTTGAGGAAAGGGAAAAGGTAGGAGAGGGAAGCACGGGCAGGGTTAGGGAAGGAAGTATAGGAAATAGGGAAGGTATGAAGGAGACAAGATTAAAAGAAGAGGGAGACCATTTATGGGGAGAAAGGTAAATTCACTTGGAACCCTGTATCCTGAGAGGTTGGTTGGGATAAGGCAGAAGGCAAGGTAGTCGGCCACCATGTTGTCGGACTTAGGGGCCCAGGACTGTGTCACTAAATCCTACTGTGTTCTATCAAGCTGTTTGAGTTCTACGAGCGGGTGTCTGGAGCCCGAATGCACGCTGCTTATATTCGCCCGGGAGGTGTGCACCAGGTGAGTGGGCTCCTCTGCCTGGGGATTTCCAGCCCTGGCCTCTTCCCTCCATGGCCACTGGAGGGCAGTGCCGGCTGATGGGAATTAACCCTGCCCCCTGGAAAAGGAGTGAGCAGCCGGGCTGTGTTCAGTGTCTCCTCGGCTTGGCTTCTTCTAGGACCTACCCCTTGGCCTTATGGATGACATTTATGAGTTTTCCAAGAACTTCTCTCTTCGGATTGACGAAGTGGAGGAGGTAAGGTAGAAATTGGTGGGAAAAGTCTCCTTTCCTCTCAAAAGGGCTTGTGAGGTTTTAATTCTGTTTGCGAAGATACACAGAGGAATTTGAGGATTGTTATGAAGAGTGTTACCACACTAGTTTTCCTGATTGATAGATGCTGACTAACAATAGGATCTGGCAGAATCGCACAGTGGACATTGGAGTTGTAAAAGCCGAAGATGCACTTAACTATGGTTTTAGGTGAGAGAATACAACTTCTTTCCGTGGGGATGGGGGGGACAGTGGGGAGTTCTAGCCCAGTATCTTGGCTTTCAAGGATGTTGGACACCCCGCTTGCCATCTCCTGAATTTGATTCCCACAACAGAAGTGTGGGGGAGGGCAAGGGAAGACAAAAATGTGCCTCCTTTCTTGGTTTGTGGGGCGCAGTCCTTGATGCCCTTTGTACCCTACAGTGGAGTGATGCTCCGGGGCTCAGGTATCCAGTGGGATCTGCGGAAGACCCAGCCTTATGATGTTTACGACCAGGTCGAGTTTGATGTCCCTGTTGGTTCTCGAGGGGACTGCTATGATAGGTAAGGCCCAGATCCTTTCTCAGCTCACTGTCCAGGTTCTTCTTCTTGCCGCTTTCCTCTCCAATTTCCTTCCAAGTATCTATGGGAACTCGTGGTTCCATGGCCTGGGGATATAACTCAATGGCAGAGCCCATGTTTAGCATTTGTAAGGCCCTGGCTTCTAACCCCAGGACCAAAAGAAAAGACTAGGTTACACATCTGTGGCAGCTTATTTTACCCTTATATAATCCCTGTTTTACATAGAACTAGTTTGGGCTGCATTTTGTAATTGGTAAAACTGAGGCATAAAAGTTAGGAATTAACCTGAGATTATTTTGTTAGTGGTTAAAACTAGAATCTTCCTAGTCGGGTGCTCTTTTCCACTGAATTCTAAGTTTAAAATTCCATTCCTCTTTACTGGCCCTAAGCTTTGCTGTGAGGTTTTTGTTTGTTTTCCATTTGAAAACCCCCACCCCCTTTCTGTAGTTCAAAAAGTATTTAAGAGGGTAAGGAGGGAAATACTACAGGCCATGGATTTGAGGAAGGACTCAATGTAGGATCAGAGTACTACAGGCTTTATATGAGCAGCCAAGCCACGAAGAGATGCTGTACTAGCAGAGGAGTGAAGAACGTTTACCTGACTCTTGAGGTCAGCCACTAGGTGTGTTCCCAGCCCCATAGCTGCTGCTCTGCCTGCCCTTCCCTTGCTCTGAGTCTCTCATCCACTCCAGGTACCTGTGTCGGGTGGAGGAGATGCGCCAGTCCCTTCGCATCATCGAGCAGTGTCTGAACAAGATGCCTCCTGGAGAGATCAAGGTTGACGATGCCAAAGTGTCTCCACCCAAGCGCTCAGAGATGAAGGTCGGCTGCAGGGAGAGGGACGGTGGGGTATTGGAAGGGGTCAGTGGTCAGGGAGCAGTATCCTTGGGTTAAATTCTACTTTTCAGGTTTACCTCTTCAAAAAAATTCACTGCGTAAGATTCTGAACCTCTCCTACCTCTCCTTTTTTATTCTGTGTCTTCTCTGCTTACTGACTTCCATGTGGGTTTTAGTCTCCAGAGGGTGGAGATTATATTCTCTGCCGAGGGAAGGCCTAGGAGGCAGACTGGGTCTGGCTCAGTGATGCTCCCTTTGTCCGCCTTCAGACTTCCATGGAGTCATTGATTCATCACTTTAAGTTGTATACTGAGGGCTACCAAGTCCCCCCAGGAGCCACGTACACTGCTATTGAGGCTCCTAAGGTGAGGAGAAGGGGGGAGGAATGGTTGTATGGAGAGTGGGTGGGAACAAAATGCTCACCTGTCAGTGAGGGAGAGGAGAGGGCATGAGGATAAACAGAGAGGTCTGTTGGCAAAGAGTGCTCTTCCCATTAACAAGGCTCCCCCCACTCTTCGGGCAGGGAGAGTTTGGGGTGTACCTGGTGTCGGATGGCAGCAGCCGCCCTTACCGTTGCAAGATCAAGGCTCCTGGTTTTGCCCACCTGGTAAGAAGCAATCCCGGTGATTCTAACTTAAATAAGTCTACTACTGAATTGCCCTTTGTTAAGGTTTTTGTGAGTTCTCCTCCTCCCTGCTGCAAATCAGGCTAACCCTGCCTCTATCTCTGTCTCTCCAGGCTGGCTTGGACATGATGTCTAAGGGACACATGTTGGCGGATGTTGTCGCCATCATAGGTATGAAGCTTCTTATGTAGTGGAGGTGTCCAGTCTGGGAGTTTGGGACTCTGGTAGGGACAGAAACTGAATAGTCCCTGTTCTGCATGGACTGGCATATCCATCTCCTGAGGCAGTGAGTTCTGGATCTTTGGTAACATCACCTCTCTGTCTTTTGACCTTCTAGGTACCCAAGATATTGTGTTTGGAGAAGTTGATCGGTGAGCAGGGAACAACATTTGATCTCGCCTGTCTAGCAGCTGCCTCTGCGGAGCCTGTCCCTTACTGGAAATGAGGCTGTGTGCGCGTGTGTACATGTGCACTTAGCTGTGCATGTACTAGAAAAGGAGAAATAATAAATTAGCTGCCTTGTAGCCCCTACACACAAACATCTGGTATGTCTTTTTTATTGTTTTTTTGGTTTTTTGAGACACGGTCTCACTCTGTAGTTCAGGCTGACCTTGAACTCACTATGTAGCCCAGGCTGGCCTCAAACTTGCCATCCTCATGCTTCAGCCTTCTGAGTGCTGGGATCACAGGTGTGCATCACCACACCTGGCTGGATGTGTCTTTCTTGTTGTCTTCTTGGGTTTCACTTGTGTTTCTGTTAGGCTTAGCTCTTAGCAATTTTTCTTTCTCATCTCCATCCCCTTCTTTGTCTCTTGTCCTTTCCACATTTGCATTCCCCATTTCCCCCTTTCCCCTCAGTTCTCCCTGCCCAAACCTTTCTGTCCACACAAATTGGTAAACCCCTCAAATCAAGCTGTGTATAAAGTTCCTAATGGGAAGGAGGGCCAGGGATTTAGCTCAGTGGTTTCACCGCCTGCTGCGCAAGCGCAAGGACCCGAGTTCTAAGCTCTTACCAAAAAAAAAGCCAAAAAACTAATATCAACACCTAATGGGAAGGAAAGGGCTTTAGTGGGAAACTTGAGGGGCACTTTCTTGCAGAAGTAGCTGAGTGGGGCAGAGTGAAAGATGGCGAAAACAGCCTTTCAGAAGCATGAGTCTCCTCACTGGTTGCAAGGGCAGAGAGGTTGGTCATTGAGGGGCAGAGGCTGAGCCCAGATCTGGCTCCTCTCGTTGGCCCTTCCGGGTGCCGCCCGGCCTCTGGTGCAGGAAGGGGAAGGGGCCAAAGTGTGGGAGAAGGCGGGGCAGGAAGGGGGGGAACTCTGTGGTCAGGGAACTGCTAGCCGAGCACAGCTGCACAGCGCTGTCAGAGCGTCCGATCCCCAGCTCACGGCCCCTCAGCCCCCTGCCCATGATGTTTCCAGCAGTGCTCTTACTCTTACTCCTTTTGGTTGAACAAGCAGGTGAGAGGGTTCAGTGAGGGCCAGTGAGTTGGGCTCCAGGGTGGGCATCAAGGACATGTGTCCAAGGGCTGGGTCAAGGACAGAAGGAAGAAGGCTGGTGGCGGGCACGGGGCTCAGACTGAGACCCTGAGGCTAGTCCTATCCAGCACCCCCTCCTCCGAGTGCTAGTTCTGGATCCCTCCTTTTTAGTCCCTTCCCTACCTCATTCCAGGCTGTTTTCAGGATTGACATGAAAGGTCAGTTTGGCAGGGGAAGAGGGTATTTGTATGGCATGAAGAGCTGGTCTGGGAAGAAACGATTTCCCCTGCTCAACATTCCTCCTGGGGTGCCTTCGGTCTTGTGCGCTGGGAGCAGCTCTAGCTACCGGCAGGGGCCTGTCCTTAGGCTTGGCAGGGAGGCAAGGGGTAGTCGAGGTAGACCCAGTCTCTGCTTCTGGGGGTTGTCACTAAGGCACTATTCTGTCGACAGCTGAGAGGAGGGTGGGCACCATGAAATGCCCAGTCCTGGAGACCTGAGCCACAGCTGAGAAGTAGAGGCAGACGAGGGAAGGCCCCAGCAGCTCAAAGGCTCTAGTCAGTTAGGAGCTCTTCTTGCTGCCTTGTGTGCATATTTTGGAGAGGGTTGGTGCCAGCTGAGTTTTGGGGAAGAGGCAGTTCGGAAACTAGCAAAACTGGGGAAATTGAAAGCGAGTGCCAGGGGAGGAGTTCCGCCACCCAGCCTGAGAAGGTTTAAGTGAGGATTAAGAGAAGGATTAAGTGAGCTGCTAGGCAGCTGCCCTGGATGAAGGAGGCTGGGGCAGCAGGACATAAGGAAAGCACAGGCTTTGGAGACAGACAACCTGGATTTGAGTCGGCTGTCGCTCAACTCTAGCCCTCAATACGTTAGTTTTGCTGAGCGCCTGGGTTTCGTCATCCGTAAAATGGCGAAGATGATGTTTCTCTCACAGGGTAGTTTTGACATTTATGCAACAGCTTGTGTGAGAGAGTGTAGTAGAAGAGTACTTGGCCAGTGTCAGTACTTGACCCATATTAGTCACATGCACTCTGTCGGCCCCGATCAGAGCCAGGAATGGTCTCTGGAGCCCAGGCCCTATGTGATTTTTTAAAATTACGCAAAACTTCCCTTCTCAGAGGCCCAGGGTGAGTAAAAGGGCAGAGTAGATGGAGGAGGAATCTACAATTTGGATTTAGTTTGTGGTCATTTCCTTGAGCTTCTCATCATTCTCCCAGCCTTGTGTGCAGGGCCAGTGGTGTCTGTACAGCCAAGGAAAGGGGACACTTTGCTTTTTTCAGAAATGTCTTGCCAGGCAGAAAGCATGAGGCTCAGGCTAGATGACCAATAATAGAGCAATTGCCTTCCCTCCCTTCCCCGGCTCACATCCTTCCTGTCCAGCCCTCAGCCACAGGTCACAGGACTGAGCAGAGACACTCCTGTGGTTTCTTCACTGAAATTGGCACTGCCTCTCTCCCCTTCCCCCGCTGGGCTGAGGTTTTGGTCTCAGCTCAGTGAACTTAGATGAGCCCTTGAGGTGAATGAAGTGCTCAATGCTGCCAGAGGAGCTGCAGTGCTGAAAAGACAGGGTTGGGCTGAGGGGGGAGTCATTGGCTCCTAGTGCTTGTAAGTCCCACAATAGAATCCTTCATGCTGCCTGTCCTACCTCTACCCTAGGGTAGGTGATAGAAGAGGGAAGGAAAGAGAAATAGGAGTCTAGAAAGGGAGATAGCTACTTCCATATAGGGCTCCTCTCCAGGCCCTGACCCGCCTCCCAGAGCCCTGTCCTTCTCTCCTTCGAGCACTAGATCCCTGCTGATGCCCCTGATCCCACCCTCTTTCCCTTCAGCGGCCCTGGGGGAGCCTCAGCTCTGCTATATCCTGGATGCCATCTTGTTCTTGTATGGTATAATCCTGACTCTGCTCTATTGTCGACTCAAGGTAAGGCAGGGTGGGGTGAGGACTCAAAGGAGAAGTGGGAGGGTGGCAGCATCATGGATTGAAGGAAGGGGAATCAAAGGGATTCTCCCCCAAAGTTTTAGGGATGAGCCTCTAACTTCCCCCTTACTGATCAGCTTTTTCTCCACTCCAGATCCAAGTGCGAAAGGCAGCTATAGCCAGCTTTGAGGTACAGACCCTGCTGCAATTCTCCAGGCCCCCAGCTCTCCTGGGGCTCAAGCTTTTGGTGGGAGGCCTCTGGGAGGGCTTGTGTCTCTTTGGCTGCTCTGCATATAGCCCAGAGGCTCCTCTCACCTCAGTCTACACACCCAGCCACCTAGCTAAACCACAAGTGAAATATCCATCAGGTGATGGGGCACAATCTAGCAGAGGAGGACAACGAACACATGAGAGTTGGGTGCTGTGTGCTGTGTGTTGATGTGTGTTTGTAGCCACATGGACAAAAGTATGTTCAAGTCTGGGGGCACCCATGTGAGCCCCCTCCCGCCTAAGGCAGCTGCCCCGAGCCCTAACCCAGCCGCCTCCTGGGGTGGGAAAGGAGCTGAGGGCTCGCCCAGGGCACGTGGATCTCTTAACGCCTTGCCTCTTATCTCTGCAGAAATCAGATGGCATTTACACGGTGAGTGAGCTGCTCCCCCCTGCCCCCAGTCAGCAGAGGAGGATGGGACTTTGAGCTTTGGAAAGGGGGGCACTGTGATGGGCTCAAGCTTCTCCTCATCCTTTGACTTCCACCTTCAGGGCCTGAGCACCCGGAACCAGGAGACTTATGAAACACTGAAGCATGAGAAGCCACCCCAGTAACTTCAGACCAGATGTCCTTGTCACATCCTTCTTCAGCTTCCAGTTTTCCTCCCACCCCTCTTGGCCTCGCCTCTGCCTCCCCACTGTTAATGCCAGCTGGCCCTACCCATAGTGACGCTGAACTCCAGAGTAATGCCTACCAGTCCTCCTCCCTGTTAAAGACTTGGGCTCAGATGCTATTCATTGATGTTTCTTTTCTAGTCCCACTCCCTTTCCCTGCCCTTCTTCTCTTCCCCATTCCCAGCTCCTACTAAACAATGGCAAGGGAGTACCACCAATAAAGCTGCCACAGACTGGACTCCATTGATTCATTGATTCAGCATCTGTTTATTCAGCCTCCATTAAGCACTATACTGAGTACTGGCAAGACAGTTCTAAGAAAGGCAAGCTCAGTTCCTGACCTCACAGAACTCACAGTCTAATGGGCTTCAGGGCTGCTTTGCTGGCTGGCTGGCTGGATGCTGACTGGCTGGGGGACGGATGAAACTCTTGACCCAGGTGCTCTAGGATGACCCTGGAGCAGAGAGTACACTGCCACTCTTTTGGGAGTGCAGGCACCTTTGGAAACATTTGGACAGAAGAAATGACTTCTGCACCCAATGTGGCCTTCAGTGTCTTCAAGGTTATGTTGTGGGGAGCCTGTCTGTCTAATCCCAAATAGTCACCAGCCCAGATAGGACCAAGCCACACATGCATCTGAGAAATAGCATAACTGATTCAAATATGCAGGAGAGATAGGTTACGTGAACCTCCCAGTGAATGGTTTTATGGAAGTCAGTGACTTTCCAGGGGACTCTGGGGCAAGAGGGACCTTAGCGAGGGGGTCAGATAGGGGTTGGAGGTGGGTAAGGCAGAGGGGAACAAGTTGGCTCCAGGTGGGAAGTCATTTTGCCCAGCACATGGGTGGATGGCCAAGGAATCCCTAGAGTTTCCCAGAGCTCTTCCAGTTCTACCTCTGATCCAGAAGTCCTTCCAGAATGGGACTAGAGTCTCCAGATAACTCCCGGCAACACCCTGTGCTGGGCAGTACTTTGCACTGCATAGTGGCTTACACTTTCCAAACTATTTTTCAGCTACTTGTACCAGCTGGTCTGCTTGCAAGCCCCAGGAGAAATTCAGGCTCTCTGTAATTAACACATCCAAAGCCACCTTGATGCAAGTGAGTGACTGAGATCTCTTTGTCCCCGGACATTTGCCTTGTGAGAAAGTGTGGACAATTTGAAAGAAAAAGGGAGAAGAATAATCACGAATGGAGAGAGTCTTGAAGGTGAGACTAAGGAGGTCGATCACTACCTGGAAGAAATTGGAACCATCTGCAGTCTCTGGGAAAAAGGTGATTTCAGATGAGGTATAAGAAATGAGCCAGGGTAGGCGAGCAAGTATTATAATATAGGGAGCTGGGAGTGTAGCTCAGTGATAGAGCCCTTACCTAATATGCAAAAAGCCTTGGATTCAGTCCCTGGCATTGTAATAAATAAAGTGGGAAGACATTTTTATTGGAAAACGCCTCATTTTCCATTGTCCTACATTTTTGGTTTGTATTTCTCCTCTCATTGACTAAGCTTGATCTCTGTTCCATTTTGACTTAATTCAGGTATGACAGCTCCCAAATTTTCTCTAGTCCAATGTGTCCACCCAATTAATTACCTGTAAGGCCTATAAATGGCTATCATGGCTACCACCTCCTGGCTGTAAGATGGCTGCCCAGCCTGTCTATGAACAGGTCCTGGATAATGGTAAGCAAAGGGCTGAGAATGGGCCTTCCTCACACAGGGTCCAAATCAGAGGTTTAGAATGGAGGGACGAGAGCACTTTTGGGGAGTAGAGTAAGTGCAGCTTTCTCTTTTATTATGGGATGGAAGAAACACAGAGTCCCCTCAGCTCAGAGAGAATCTTAGCACACTGGGCTAATTTTGGAGGAGCTTTTTTTCTCTTCATAGAATAATTAGGAAGAAATTCTGAGGGATGCCTGTAAGGAAAAGTCTGAAGGACATCTTCCCATGAGTTCTGACACTTCCCCATATTGTTTCAGCCCTGTAGAAACATCAGTACCCCTAATTAAGTCCTGTTCATAGAACAGACCATTCCAGACCAAGAGGTCCCTTAAAAAAAAAAAAAGAACCTTACTCAAACATGAAATGGACCAGTGACCATTAAGATAGATGACTTGATCCCAGAATAGTTGTTTCCAGCGTCCTCATTCCCGGCTACTCCAGCCCCGGATGTCAACCCTTTAGTCTGAAAAGAGCTGCGCCTGGCCCTTCGGAGCCAGCAGCGCCTCTCAGGTCTCTATCTCAAGTGAAGTATGTCCTTGCTGCAAGTCTTTCCTTCCTTCTTTTTTTTTTTTTTTTTAATGTATGATTAAAAACTTTGCTGGGAATTTAGCTGAGAGGCACTGCGCTTGCCTGGCAAGTGCAAGGTCCTGAGTTCGATTCCCAGTACTGGGGGGAAAATACCGGGAAAAACGTTATTTATTATTCTGAGATAGAGTCTCCCCATGTAGCTCAGGCTGGCCTCGAACCCACAGCCCTCCTGCCTCAGCCTCCTGAGTGCTGGGAAATATACCCTGAGCCATGGTGCCTGGCTCAGTTAGAAAGGTTTGCATGTGGACCCACGTGTGTCCCTCTTTCCTTCTTACAATGCCCTCATTTCTACAATATCCAGAAGTCTAAGGAGTCAGTTTATGGACTGCTCTGTGGAGAGCGAAAGGTTGAAATAACCTTGAGAGACCTCTGAGTCTCTTGAGAACATAATGAATCCTGGATATGCAGCTGGCACAAAAGCAAGGATGGTTACTTGTAACGAGAGTGGTTAAATAGAAAGAGTTCGAATGTCTGCAGTGCAAGGGAACGTTATTCCCAGAGTTGTAAAGATACATTTGACCTTTTCCCTGGAAAATAATTAGTCGCCGAATTATGTGCAGAGGAGGGGTTGGGGGTTGTGGAAAAGGTATATAAAACAATTTGTTTGTCTTGGTTTTGGAGACAGGGCAGGGTCTCACTATGTAGCCCAGGCTGGCCTTGAACTTGCAGCAGTCCACTTGTCTCAGCCTCCTGAGTGCTGAGATTATAGGCGTGCACCACCATGCCTGGCATCCTTCTCCTTTTTGAAGCTGATTTATCTTTTTCCTTCCTCCTACTCCTCCTACTCCTCCCCCACTCTGCTATTCTCCCTGTCACTCAAACACACAAGGCTCACAGTTTGACTCCCGCATTTATTGTAGAAAATGGAGAGTAGGTAGAGAGAAGGGCTCTAGACCTGGCCCATGGGTGTTCTAGGGGCCAGCTGGGGTTGGAGGACAATGATCTAGACACCTCACGCGGTAGCAGGCTGTGTTTTTTTGAGCTCTATCATATTGCTCAGCATGTTAAACAGTTCAGTTCCAGCCTTCTTGACCAAAGGTACCAGCTGCTCCTGTGTCTTTTCAAAGTAAGACCTGGGTAGAGAGGGATTAGAGGTCAGTGTGAAGGACCTTAGTCACTGGGAGAGGTCAGAACAACTTGACCTAGGTCCCCAGACTGTAGACCTAGTCCATCCTGGCACAGCAAAACTGCTAGAAGGAGAAGCAAACCCTCTCCTGGCTAGAGGAATAGACTCTAGACACTGAAATTCAGACCCACTTCCCTGCTGCCCTCATCTGTCTAACAGGTGCATGGGATCTTCAGGTGACGGAGTAGTTTTTCTCTCCAATTTAAATCTAATCCACCCCAACTGTCACCCTGAGCTCAGTCTCCTGTGAGACCTCCCATCTTCCTTTCCTTCTCCCCGTGGTCCCACAGCCCCTCAACCCCTCTCCTTGAGACTTACTGGACTTGAGCCTGAAGGTCCTGGGGCTTGGTCTTCTGGAGCAGGTCCTTGCCATAGCTGGTCACGGTCTGGAAGTACTGAGAGAACAGGCCCTGCAGATCTGGCTCCTCTGCCTGCCTCCGAACCAGAGCCCCTGCACACACATGCATACTCTCTCAGCGGGGTCTCCAGAATGAATCCCGGTCTCCTGCCACACCTCTGCCAGTACCCGCCCCGGCTCTCCACCCTCTCCCCAAAAGGTCTCCTGCCATGTCTTTGATGGGCTTTCCAGGCTTTAGAGAGGGTAGGGTCTTTATTTACTTATTTATGTTTGAGCCCTTTGGTCACCAGATCTGGCCAAAGGAGCACACACAGATGAGTGGCCAGGACCTCTGGCACTGTCTCTCTTTGGGCTCCTTCTCCATATTACACTCACCGTCGAGGCTGCAGATGGTAACGAGCAGCACAGTCATTGCAAGCAGCTTCATGGTGGAAAGGTGGCCAAGGAACAATGCTGGTGGTGCGAAGGGACACTGTAGACAAATGGGCTTCTGACCCTCCCTGGGGAGCCCCTCCCATAGATGCCCATTCCAATCTGGTTCCCTTCTTTGCATGCTGCCCACCCCACTTGTTTGCTCACCATACCTCATCAATGTCTCTGTCCTTGACGGCTGTTCCTGGCCTGGCTGGAGAGGCAGAGCTATATTCAGGTCCACTTCCCCTCCCACTGTCAGGTGACAGAGACTGTGGGGAGGGACCTTGTGGGAGAAACAAGCTGGAAAAATGGGGGAGGTGGGGACAACCAAGGGGGACTCATTGTGATGGGGAGAGGGGCAGGGGGTAAGGCCTTGGTGGAGGCCAAGAGGCCAAGAGGGAACACTTCAGATCTGCTTAAGATGTATTCTTTTGGGACCCATGATTATCAGTCCTTGGTTTTTATGCAGTGGAAAAACAGGAGTCTTAGTTCTGACATCCAGCCCTTGGTATCTCTATCCTACTACGGGTAGATTTCATCTCCCAAAACCTACCTCCCATTACTGCAATTTAGCAAGGAGATATTGGGGAACAGAAGAAAGAAGGGAGTTGAGAAATCAGGGGAAGTGGTGAAGGGGTTGGGGGGAGGGGAATGAGGGTCAGGGTCCAAGGGCAGGTGCTATCAAGTCTGTCCCATTTGAGTAAATGTGTAATGAGATGGGGGAGAAAAACATGAGTGCCCAGAATGACCCCCTGGGCACTGATCAATGAGCATACCCTACCTCCCAGTAAAACAAATTTAGGAAATAGCCTTTACCCTCCCTGTTCTGACCAGAGCTCTCACAAGGAAAGAGGCTTCTGTCTGGATAAAGGATGAAGGTGCCTGGTCACTTATTTACCTTATCTGTTCCAGGAGGTGGTAAGCCAATATTGAATCAGAGGGGCAAATAGCATTCCTGTCAGCAAGGCGCTGGCCCTTGTCCCAGCCCTTACTGTGAGAGAGGAAAGAGGTGCATCCTTCTGGCCCAGAGCATTTAGGTGGAATCAGCCAAACACATCCCAGGAACATTTGTATCCTTCACTCTTTTGCCCCCAAAGCTTACTTGCTATGTACACAGACCACTCCTGAGAGTTGGGGGTGGAGATGTGGGAGCTAGTGAGGGAGGTAGTGACCAAAGACCAAGAAATCTTCTATTTTCCCTGTGGAGTAGAGAGTGCTTGCGGGTCACTCTGTTGCGTGCCTCTGGCTCTGGGGTGGAGCATATTCTCAGGCTGGAGTCCTATTCCTTGATTTGATTTGCCCATTATGCCTTGAGACTGGGAGAGGGGCAGGTTGACTTTTCAGGGCAGCTGTTATAGGAAATCATTCTGCCAGAACCTGCTGCTCTACCCCTCTTATCCCCATTCGCATTTCACCAAGAGGGTGAATAGGAGAGCTGTAGACCTCCTTCTTGTAGGAATAGCAACGATAATAGTAGACGATAATAGTAGCCGTGTACCAACATCTATTCCTACTGGGATTATATGATGTGTTCATACAATGAAGTCTAGGAAACCAACTGATATTACAGCCCAAACTATTCCTATGTATCTGAATGGCTCTTTTTTTCCCAGGTCTGTGTCCTTGTGAGTGGTAATCATTTGGAGGTGTACCGTGAAGGAATGGGAGAATTACCCAGAGCCTCTGTGGGAACTGTGGGTAGTTGGGTGGTGGAGGTGACATGAACCAGGGTTCAAAAGAAGTTCTTTAGGGCTGGGGATTTAGCTCAGTGGTTCCACCGCCTGCCTCGCAAGCCCAAGGTTAAGAGTTCGATCACCCGATACAAAAAAAAGTTTTTTACCCTGGTGTGGTGGCACACGCCTGCAGTCCCAGCACTCTAGAAGGCTGAGGTGGAAGGATCTCAAATTGGAATCTAGCTTGGGCAACGTAAGGGATTTAGGGAGACCCTGTCTCAAACTCTGAAATAGAAAAAAGGGCTAGGGAAATAGCTCAGCGCGAAGGCCCTGGGTTCAATCCCCAGTACAAAAAAACAAAACAAAACAAAGTCTTCACAGTTGTTCCCTCTGTCACCCTTCACAAAACGCAAGCTTCAAGGCTATAATTTTTTTTTCTCAAGGGAAATGGAAAGAGCTTCATTGGACTAAGCGACGAGATGCTCCCTCTAGCGTTTCGTACTTTCATAGGTTTATCCTGACTTTGGAGAGGCGGGATTTTTTTTTTTTTTCTTTCTTTTTTGGTACCAGGGATCGAACTCGGGTACTTGTGTTTGCGAAGCAGGCACCAGAACCACTGAGCTGAATCCCCGGCCCAGGAGGCGGGACTTCTAAAACCTTCTACCAATAAGCCACGAATCGAATTCCACCCGCCTCTGCAGGGCTGGGATGTTCTCCGTCTTTTACTTCCTTCTTTCCCATTGGCTCCTTGGGTGGGGATTGAGGTGCCCTTTTTCGTCCATTGGGAGGGGCCCAGAGGAGAGGGTTGGGTCTTTGAGTCATTTCTTTGCCCGGTTCCAAGATGGCGCTCATGACCACGCTGGGAATACAGCGTGAAGCCTTAGTTCTGCCAGCACTCAAGATGGCTGCCCCCATCAAGATGACCGGGGTGTGCCTGAGGGAAAGGGGCAGTAGGATGGTCTGAGATGGTAAGGACTATTGCTCCATTGTGGGGCTATTTTGGGGACGTGGGAATGAAGAGTAGGGAGACTGGCAAGATAGATGAGGTCTGTGATTAAAGAATGGGAGAAAGGACAGGGGTGACAGGTGGGGGCGAGGGATCAAAAATAGGGCGGGAGTGTGCCTGAGGTTCAGGCTCCTCATCGGTGCTCTCTCCCCCAACTCTTCCTGTTCTAGGTCTAGCATTGGACCATATGGAAGTTTCTGGGACTGGGGAGCTGGATGATGGGGGGTGCGGCTCGTGAGGGGTAGAGGGAGCAACAGCGTTTTTTCCCAGGCTAACCCCGGCCCCTCCTTGTCCTTTGGACTAAAATGGGGAACACTCTGGGCCTGGCACCGATGGGGCCTTTGCCCCGCCGAAGCCCCCGCCGAGAAGAACCTCTGCCCAATCCTGGGAGCTTCGATGAGCTGCACCGGCTCTGCAAAGGTGAGAACTTGGCACCAGGGTGTCTCAAGTTGAAGAGGTCTTGAATACTGAATGTGATGGGAGCAGAAAAGGGGAGAACACATCCGGGGCATCCAGCCTCAGGGAGGTTCAGGTGCCCAAATGAAGTGGAGCATTTTGTTGCAGGATTTGAAAGGAGATCAGTTCCTCCAGTGCTTCCTTTGGGATTGGAAGGGGAGACTACCTCTTTGGGTAGGGCTTCCTCGTCTGTGCTCATTTCTTCCCTTCCCTTCACCCCCTTCAGATGTATTCCCAGCACAGATGGAAGGAGTGAAGCTCGTGGTCAACAAGGTTCTGAGCAGCCATTTCCAGGTGCTCCCACTTCTCTGGCCCCTTCTTATTCTTTTCTGGTACCGGGGATCGAACCCAGGACCTTGCACTTGCAAGGCTGGCGCAGTACCACTGAGCTAAATCCCAGCCCCATCGCTGGCCCCTTCTTACAATCCCTCTCTGCCCGTCCCTAGATCCTCTTCTCCTTTCCTTTGCACTCCAGCCTTAATCAGGCTATGTAGAACAAATGAGGGAGCGTGTGGGGCTCTCTGTACCTCCCTTGTCTGTTGGACCTGTGCTTTAAATCTAGTGACTTGGCATATGCTGGAATATTTGAGATTCTTAAATCTCCCTAGATGGGAAGAACATGAAGAGTGGGATGAGGGATTGAAATGAACCAGGAATGCTGTCTTCTCCATTTTCTTTTCTTTCCTCAGGTGTCTCACACTGTGCACGTGAGTGGCCTGGGCCTGCCGGGCTATCACCTCCATGCTGCCTATGCAGGGGACTGGCAGCTTAGCCCTACTGAGGTGAGGGCACCACACTCCTTAAAAGCTCACCTGGGACTTAGGGCTGGAGGAAGAGGAAATGCATATGTTATGGGGAAAAATGGGCAGTAACTGGATTCTTTGAGTTTCTTCTGAATTGGAGAGGGTAGAGCAACATTCCTATCTGTGAAGATGCCAGAGTTTGTCTTTGTGCCGCCACCAGGGGGCGCTAGGTAATGTTAATGAAATCCCGCAGTAGTATTTGGATTGTTGCTCCCCCGCTCAGCCTTACTATCTACACTCCTCAACAGGTCTTCCCCACTGTGGTAGGGGATATGGACAGCAGTGGCAGCCTCAACGCCCAGGTCCTGCTTCTGTTGGCAGAGCGGCTCCGAGCTAAGGCTGTCTTCCAGGTGACCCCCAGTTCCTGCCTCCATCCACTGAGGCACTTCTCTTTCTCCTCCATGGGTGTCCTCCCCCAGGGGAGGAACAGAGGCAATAGTAATCATTAAAAAGAAGGAGGGAGATTTGACTTCTTGTCTCCCTCTCCCGACTCAGACGCAGCAGGCCAAGTTCCTGACATGGCAGTTTGATGGCGAATATCGGGGAGATGATTACACAGCCACTCTGACCCTAGGAAATCCTGACCTGATTGGGGAATCGGGTGAGAAATTGGGACAGGGTTTTTTGGTCTTTGTTTCCTATTTGCTAATGTTGGCTCTGGCTCTTCATCTTCTGTATAGTTTAAGGCAGTGAAGACAAACCTTTTAGAGATCAAGTGCCGAAACTGCAACCCCAAACCCACTTATTTATTGCAAAGTGCCAACACTGCAATTAAACCTCAATATTGAGGTTTTAGTTTAGAAAAAACAACTCATACACTTCGCTAGAGTGCTGACAGAGAGGGCTTTGTGTGCCCACTCTGGCATGCATGCCATAGGTTTGCCACCACTGGTTTAGGGGTTGGGAAAGGAACTTCTTGGGTAGTAGGCGGGGTGGGGGTAACTAGGGGTGGGGTGCAGACCTGACCGTGGTCTCTGTGACTGACTCCATGCCTCTCCACTCCCCCACAGTGATCATGGTTGCTCACTTCCTGCAGAGCCTCACTCATCGGCTGGTGCTAGGCGGAGAGCTAGTTTATCACCGGCGGCCAGGCGAAGAGGGGGCCATCCTGACCCTGGCTGGGAAGTACTCGGGTATGGAGTGAAGTGGGGTAGTGACAGGGAGGGGCGATTCTGAACTTTGTTGAAGTTCCTGGCCTGTGCCCTACCATAATGTTCCTTTTTGCCATCTTTTGGTTCTTACAGCTGTACACTGGGTAGCTACATTGAATGTGGGATCAGGTGGGGCCCATGCAAGTTATTACCACAGGGCAAATGAACAGGTAAGACTTCTGATCTCATTCCCTACCCTGACAAAAAAGTTGTCAACTTTTGCCCCTCTAGATCTCCACAAGTTCTGCTGGCTGGATTTTTTTTCTCACTGGCATTTTTAAAAAGAATGCATAGTAGTTATACAGACCAGTGGGTTTCAGTTTTGCATATTTATCTCTGTGCATAACATGCTTTGATCATCTCAGCCTAATGTTCTTCCTACTCACAGTGGGTGTACATTGTCACACTGCCTTCCTTCTGCTGGTCCCTTGTGAGGACCCCTCTGGTCTTCACTGAGATGGATGCCCTCTCCTTGCCCATGTTTCTCAGGTTCAGGTTGGAGTGGAGTTTGAGGCAAACACAAGGCTACAAGACACAACCTTCTCCTTTGGTTACCACCTGAGTGTGCCCCAGGCCAACATGGTGTTTAGAGGTCAGCGTCACTTCGATGACATTGGGAAGTGCTGAGGGATCGGGGGGATTGGGGGGCACGCACAGGGAGAGGGCTCTACCTCACTTCTGCAGCCTCCTTTCTCCAAGGCCAGTTAAATAACCTAGCTGATACACCTTCCCCTGCAGGCTTGGTGGATAGTAACTGGTGTGTAGGTGCTGTGCTGGAGAAGAAGATGCCGCCATTGCCTGTCACCCTGGCCCTCGGAGCCTTCCTCAATCACTGGCGCAACAGATTCCACTGTGGCTTCAGCATCACTGTGGGCTGAGGTTGTTCCGAGCTGGGCCCACAGCAGCTTGAACCTGAGTCAGGTGCCCTAGGGCCAAACACTAGGCCCCTCTCCAGAGCCTTGCTGGGTGACCTTCAGGTCTCAGGAGCAGAGTGGGGGACAGGGCCACACCCTCCTCAGAACTGGAGCTGCCACAGGGTCAGCTGATGAGGGAATGATTTGAGGCTCCCACTTCTGCCACTGGCCCCAATATCCCCTTCTTCAGCCTTGTGGCTCTGGACAACGGGAGAAGGATTAAGGGGTGTGTCTGACTGACTATCCCTCCTCACATCCTTCTCTTTTCCTTTGGATTAAGGAAAAAATTCCTTAATCCTTTGGATTAGCACCTAGCCCCTCCTCTTCAGAGCAGGAAAGTCTGCATGGGACTCAGCTCCCCATCCTGTTTTCCCATCCCCCAGCCTCCCAAGGCTGAGAAGCTAAATCTGTGGCCTCAGAAAGTGTCCCCCCATTCCCAGAAGGAGCATTACCTCTTTTCCCTGAGGCTTCCTCCTCCATATTCTGTGCTTCCAGAAAACAACTTTGTCCCCATGGTCAACCCCACTACTGCATGAAGAGGCAACAGTTGCTTTTGTCTTTCATTGTAATCACTGAACTCTCTTCCTCCTGGTCCCAATATGTTGTCCCAACAATTTTCCCTTTCCAGTCCAGTGTGGCCCAGGGGGGCTGGGGAAGGAGGCGAGCCCCGCCTCAGCTGCAGATCTCCTGGAGCAGGGGCATCATGGCGAGAAATCCCTGGATGCGCTGGACTTGGTGCCAGTATGTGTTCTGAATGCTCCGGAGCTCCACCAACAGGCCCAGCAGCTTTGCATACCGAAACCTTTGGAGGAAGTATCAGGGAGACAGGAGGGAAATAAGGCAGCTGGGAGTTCTGTTCTGACGCCCTGATCTCCTGAACCATCCCTCAGTGATATTAAGTCAGAAGATTAAAGAAAATCAACCTCTGGTATGACAAATACATCAAAAATTCCAAAGGTCCCCAAGAGGGCCTCTGACACTGTCTTCTCTCACCATGCCCAGCTTTTCCTGAACCCAGAGCTCTGAGGGCCAAGTGTAAAGAAAGCCCCAGACTTGGCCAGAACTTCATCTGTACAGAATCTGAGGGTCTGGCCTTCTGGAGCAAGTTCTAGAAAGTGGGCTTGTTGTTCTGTGGTATAAAGTGTCCCCTTTCTGGAAAACTGACTCATTCATTAAGCGATGAGCAAGACAGAAGTGGTGCATACCTCAGAACCTATATAGATCATAGACTATTGAACCAGGGATTGGCTTTGGCCATGAAACTACGAATGACCATAACTTCAAAGGAAATGAAAAATCCAAGGAATTGACCAACTAGAGAGGAGAGGAAGGGCCTAGGAAGAAGTGTCTGGAGATGTTGGAGTGGTGAGGTGATGGATGTCATCAATCTCAGGAATGCTGTTATACCGAGCCTGTGAGCTACCACTTTGCATCTCTACTGAATAAAAAAAAAATCTGGAAAAAGTGAGATGAAGCTGCAGTAAATGCAATTGGAATGCTGGAGCTATGTGAGACAGGGATGGCATGCAGGAAGGACCAGAACCTCAAGACACCTGGTTTCCCAAAGCAAAAGGGTAAAAAGCATTTATCCTGAGTTCTGTTTCCCTAAGCCTTCCTTCCCTGGTGTAGCCTCCAAGCCCCCAGTTTCCCACTTACTGATTTCGAGGCCTTGGCTGCTTGCCCTTGATGTAGCTGTCCAGAGTCAGTGCCATCTCCTCTTGCAGCTGATCGATCTCTTTCCTCTGGGTAACTCCAGGCCGGTCTGTAGGATAAGGACCAGGGAAGGCCAAGGTTGGGGGAGGCCTGCATGGTGCCCCTGGGGCTGTGGATGCTACTGATCCTCTAGGTTTGGAGGCTGAATGGCTGGGGGTGGATGGATCCAAGGGGCTGAGCATTTGGGCACAGATGGCAGGGCCAAAGTTTCTGGGCCGTGGGAGATGCTCACCAGGAGAGAAGAGGGCCATGGCAGCCATGAGCACATACTCGGGCTCCTGGAGCTGCAGTTGTCTCAGTGTCCCATGGAAGCGAAAAAATCCCTCCAGAAAGTCTCTCTGGAATCCGGCTGTTGTAGATATTGGATTTAGGAGCCTGCAAGTCACCTTACCACACCCCATAGCCCAGGGACACGTGCCTTCGACTGCTCTGGCAGCACCTCACCATGAACTCCATCTTCCAAAGTGTAGCGAAGAGGCCCACAGAAGAAGTTTTGTGTTTGGAGACAGAAAGTGGTATTGAGTGCAAGCTGACCCATTTCTATCACTGCTCCCTTGAGAAGGGAGATTTGGTCCTCCATGGGCAGGGACCTGTGGGTTGCCATAAAAAAGGGCGCTTGAATCGTAAGCCTGAACTTCAGAGAGGGAGAGGGACCCTTAGTCCTGATGGCCACAAAGTTGGAGCTGGGTGTGGTGGAACAAGAATATAATCTCAGCTACCTGGGAGGCTGAAGCAGGAAGATTTAAATTCAAAGCTAGTCTGGGCAGCATAGTGAGGCCCTGTCTCCAAAGAAATGGGGCAGCATGCTGGGGATTTAGCTCAGTGGCACAGTGTTTGCTTAACATGCATACGGCCTCTGGGTTTATCCCACAGTACCATTTAAAAATAAATGGATAGGGCCAGGGATGTAGCTCAATGGCTCCGCACCTGCCTCACGAGCTTAAGGTCCTGAATTCAATCCCTGGTACCAAAAATAAATAAATAAATAAATAAAT